CATGAGTTTTAAAATATCGGCATATCGGATATCGGCCAAAATCCCAATATCGTGCATCCCTACTGAACACGTTTCAACTCTCTGCCCTGGAACCATCCCAGCTCCTGCATAAAGAACTTTCTCAGCTTAAACATTGAAACAAAACAACTTCAGTTCATCAGAGACGTTCATTTTTCATTATCCAGATAAACAGAACAGGTGTGTTGCGTTCATGGCAGGAAGGAGGAAACTTTAAACACTTATTTAAAACATAGCGGTCCATATAAATGACTAAACTTTGTTTCTTTTCCACAGTGTGAAAAATGTGACCTCCACTTCAGACACAAGAGTCAGCTCCGGCTTCACCTCCGACAGAAACACGGCGCCGTCACGAACACCAAGGCTCAGTACCGGCGGGCGGGCGGCAACATGGCGGCAGGCCTGGTCAGCTCCTCCTGAGTCTGACGCGTAGATCTAATCTCCGCCTTCTTTAGTCGGAGCTTATAAGCGATGACTGTCGACTCCCGGCTGCTCAGAGACTCTGTGCTTTGATCTTTTGAATGTACGTCTTGAATGTGAATCTCCGCCGCGCCGCGCAGATACCTTCCACAGAACGCCATCCCTCTCCATGCAGAGAATCACTGTTACGCTCCGGTTCCAGGCTAGCTCTGACCTCGCCCTGTAATCCCTCTCATCCATTCATCAGGCCCATTATTTTATGCTTTTTTCATAAAGCTGTTCCTGTAAATAAGAAGATATCTTTATATTTTCAGATAATTGCTGGTTGAGTGCGACGTTATGAACCTTTGGTACTCATGGAGCAGCTTGGCTCCGCCTCCTTTTGCTGTGTCATAGTTTGTGGTACATGCTGTAATAATTACAGTCATAGTTGTTTTTGTTTTTTAACTTGCTACTTTTTGTACATATTGTTTTTTTTTGTCCACTAAATTTTTGGAGCTTGGCATCTTGCACAAACCCCACGATGGAACGCATCTCTGTGTTCGTACTTTAGTTGGAGCATTTCCACGTTAAATGTTCTCGGCGACTCGTCAGACCCCATTCCCAGCACTTTTATATATTCTTATTTATTTGTTTTGTAAATTTCTTACTGTTCATATGTGGTGCTGCAGAAATCTGTGGCCCCTCCCTGTGGGATTCTCTCTTTTTACTGCTTTGTAAAACACTCATGATGATTATTCAGTGCCTTGTTTTCTATCGGCTGTTATGTTTCCACAGACTGACAATTAATGTGTTTTAATTGTTTGGAAGCTCTGGTACTTACCGCCTGTTTCCCCCCCCCGCTCTGCCTTGGTACTATGGCTGATGATGTCATCCATATGCAGGTTAAGCTGTTTAATGTGCAGACACCAGGCCTCAAGCTAAAAACACTCAGGAATATCAGTACTATGTAAGCAAATGTGTTTCTAATGGCAATTGAATATACATATGAAATATATTTATATATATATATATATATGACAAATAAAATGTGTATTGTGAAGCATATGGGCATCTCCTTCCTTATTGGTTGTCAAAGTGATATTATGAACTATACCTGGAGCAGAGTTGCACTAGAAAAATCGAAATCTAGATTAGTATTTTTTTCTTAAAATAAGTGCGTTTGTTCTTGTATTGAGGAGCTAAAAGAGACATTTTGCCAACTGAACGAGACAATTTACATTTGAAATAAGAAAACACAACTGCATTGTCTTATTTCAAGTGCATATTATCTAATTATCTTATCTTAAGAATAAAAATACTCATTCCATTGGCAAACTGCCTCATTTATCTACTCATATTAAGGGTGAATATACTTAATTTAAGAATTTTTTTACTTATTTCTAGATAATTTTTCCAGTGTGATTAAAATGTGACCAAATGAAATAAAATGGTGAGAGATACGTAAGATGATTTACAAATAAATTTAAAAAATCACTCCTTTATCCAGATCACTGAATTCTATTCAGTTTATTTCTATAGCTCCAATTCACATCATGTCATCTCAGGTCACTTTCCAGTTCA